CCTCAGGGCAGATTAGCTCTGGCATTGCTTTTGACCTGTGGAATTGGCTCTTAAAGGAATAAAGTTTGATACCGAACTTGGTGCTTGCACAGCCATTGAAGCCTACATTAGCTAAGTAGCGATGGCAAAACGACAGACGACCAAAACTACATTGCGATTCCCGTCTGGTGGCTGGATTCACCATCAGTCATTGACCCACACAGCTGATGGGACATGGACCAGAAGAAGGTCAAACCTACATGTTAGTCCAATGGATGTGTCGCTTGAATGATTAGCTACACTGCCCCCCGATGATTTCCTGTGGTACTGCTCTGTTTCATCTGTTTCCTCCGATTCTGTAAACGATTCTCTGCTGAATTGTTGACACTGAAAACTTCAGTGCTTCAAGTGATTACAGATAATGAATAATTAGAATCTGTATAATTTGAGCAGGTTCTCTCACTGAGGTAAGTGGCCTTGATAAAAGCTTAATTAAAAAATCTCAGACGTGTCTTGTTGTAGAATAATAGATCGATAATCCAATCAATTGTTTAAACAATAAGTGAATAGAACAAGATCAGTTTGTGACTGCGTCGAAGCTGAATTTCCTGTTTGCTTGTATTGTACAAACTGAAACTTCTGGTGTTGTTACGTGAACAGCGAGAATATAGAGAACCGCAGAATCAAAAATAAATACATACAAAGCTTAATGTGAGAGTTAACAAACATGGTCAGCTTAAGTGCGGACTTCTTCAGAGGCTGTTGAGGCTCCAGCGCTGCCGTTTCCCGCAGCCTCGGGCTACGTGTTTGAAAGCAGACAGCTCTGCAGGGTGAGTGGCAGGAGTTGGGGTGAAATCTTGACAAAGTGAGGAGGAGGAGGAGGAGGAGGAGGAGGAGGGCCGGGCCTGACAGTACACTTCCTGCCTCAAGGAGAGAAGTTGCACATTGTATCTAGGAGTTGTTGTTAGTTCCAGTGCCAGTCACGGCCGAGACGAGCAGAGATGTTCCAGAGCGCTATTTAAAAGCTGCTGACATGTTCTGCTTGCCAAGAAACTCGTGAGTGTGTGAACAGCTGACTTCTCTCTGGTGCTCAGCTCTCACATCACTTCACTGAGTGAGAAACAAGAGTTCAGCCCCCAGACGAGTTCCAGAACATGTGATCAGAGACAACAAGAACTAACCATTATTGATAATCTGCATATTGATTTATCAAGGGCTGCGCAATTAAACTTAAAAACTGAAAAGTCAGTGAATTTTACTCTTTAGAATTATTTATATAATTGATCATTAAATTGCTTTCAGTTGGGGGCCATTGACTAAGATGGCGGCTAATAGGAAACACTGTGTTCACGATAAAAGCAAAAGGGGATTTTTGTGTTGCAATAAAGCAGCGAGGAGTTTGGCCGCAGGATCATTTGTGTTTACTTGTGTTACTCACACAAGCGACTTGAGTAAACACAACCCATGAATATTCCCCTGGGGAGGAGGGCTACTGCCTGAAGTGACTGTAATTGCTGTAGCGGAAACAGGAGCCGGCGCAGACGTGTGTGAGTCCACAAGACCGAACCATGTGTGTGTGTGTGTTTGCAGCTCTGGAAATTTAATCTTTAACACCAGAACTTGAAACTTGGCTTTTTCCACAGAGCATGTGCTCCCAACTTTTCAATTAACACGGGTTATTTTCTGTAGCTACGATGTCGAAAGGAACATTGGACCCAGGGTGAGAACATAACTAGAGCTGAGGAACATATAGGACCCTTTCCGATTATGAGCCGTATAAATCTCGGCAACGTTGGACAGTGGGAATATAGGAATGACCCATATGAAGCCACGAGGTTGTCATTAACAAGGAGCCAGTTTCAGCTCAGACGGAGGAAAACAACATCGTGAACGTGATGGAAATATGGCCGTCGGTTGGTTTCAGGGGTTTTTTATTCCGCTGGTATATTTGTGGTTTCTCCAGTGCAGCGGAAGCTTCGGTTCATGCTCTGAGTTTGATAAATGCGTACGATCATCATGATTAATCACCAAGTCTGCGTTCTGGGTCACACTTTGCTTTTATCAATACATCAGCCAATCAAAAATTTTATTTAAGTTTTCAATGAACCAGGAGAACCAGGCTTTTTGCCGCACTGCGAGTATTAACCCGCTCACAAATACAACCTCTGTTCCTCTGTTTAAGTGCTACAGCTGTCAGTGTATTTACCCTCCTCCCAGAATATGATTGCACTGATTTAAAATAGCAGGGGGCAGAAGTTGGGAGTGAATTAAAAAAAGACATCCCCACAAGCACTGGAACACTCCCAACTGTAAAAGGGTTGCGTTTGAAGCCTTCTGGAGGGAGCTGAGAGACATGTGCACGGCGTCATGGACCATGGACGATAACAGAGCTGGGGAGTAGAGAGAAACAGATCGCAAGATAAAGAGGAGAAGGAGGAGGAGGAGGAGGAGGAGGAGGAGGAGAAGGAGGAGGAGACAATATTCCCCTTGTGCAGGACGATGCCGGTTGTGAGTGAAAACGTGCAATTTGGTGTAAAAATGTTCCTCATTAAAGTTGCATTTTCTTTTAACTTGACTCTGGCCGGCACAAAGAGAAGCGGCTCCCTGGAGACAGTTGCTGAAGTTGTCAAGCGAAGACCTACAGCCGAGTATCTTCCTGACAGACACGAATTCTCTCTCTGAAGACGGAGCCAGCAGCATTATGGGAAAAGCAGAAGAAATAAGAAAAGCGGAGAGGAGAGCGGACAGATAAGTGAGAAAGACAGAGAGGCGTACATTTTAGATAAGGAAACGCTAAATCTCTATCCCAGCGCTGACAGACAAAGGTGACAGTAATGTGAGGTGAATTTGCATAGCAGATGTTCCCGCACGCAGGGCTGGAGTTATTGAACTGGCGAACACTGGGATGGCTGCGTGCCATCTGTCGTACAGCGGCGGCAGATAAATTAAAAGTAACAGCTGGGAGGACGCTGCGGAGGTATAAGGGCAAGTTATAGCGTCGCGCTCAGCGGAGGAAGAGATGCGTGTCAGGGGGCGAGATGGAGAGAGGAGAAAGACAGACGTGTAGAAGAACAGGGAGGGAGGGGAAACAGTTTCTCGTTCACTCTAGTTATCGGCTGTTCGTCATTTCTATTGTCCGTTTGTCAGACGGTGGCGAGCAGCAGAGGGAACACGGTTCCGCCCTAACTCAGTGTTCATGCACGCACAGGTGGAATTAAACACACAAAGTCTCTGTACTTTACTTGAGTATTTGTTTTTCCTCAACACAAATATCTGAAGTTTCTTCGACATTTTCAGAACAGGCTCATTGCTCTCGTCTTTTTTATCGATTTATTCAACGTCATTTCAGAGCCTGTACTTTTTATACATCCACACAAGAAGTCAAGGATGTGTACTTCTACTCGAGTAAAGAATCTTCACTTCATCCTGTAAGAGCTGTTTGTTACCGGACAATACAACTTCTATAAAAATAGTTTCTTTTAGTTTTCTCGCCCTTCGTCTTAATAATAATGTTTTTTTTCCCGTGGCTCCTATAACAACAACATTAACAATGAATGACCACACACAGAATTCTCTGCTTCACACTTTGCTTAATCGAATTCAAACTTATTTAATCCACGGAGGAGTTGAGGTGATGGCATAAAAACGAGAACAGAAGTGGTGCAGCTCTGTAATAAAACACAGAGTGTCTGCTTGAGGTGTGGCAGCACAAACACTCATGATTAATGCCAACGTGTCTTTGTGATTAAGAGCATGAATAAAAGAAAAGCTCTTCACTTCTTTAGAGTTTTGTTTTTTACTGCAGGGAAATTCTACTTTTTACATTTTCAGTCTGTGTGGGAAGTTAAATTTAAGCCAAATATAATGTAAGTCACCTTTTAATTGTCTCGTGTGAATTGTTTTGTCTTTTTAACTATAACTACAATTACCTCAACACATGCTTCTTGTTATTATTGACAGAATAATCAGCTAATACTTGTTTATGTGCACATCTGCATCGATCAGCCTCAAAGTATGAACACACAACTCATTTCCTTTCCACTTTAATAGTTGCAGCAGGAACACGTCCTCAATTTCCACTTCACAGCTGGAATCACACCATCACCCTTTTTTATGAGAAAACAATGAAATCACACTGCTTCTTTATCGAATCTGTAAAATGAGAAACACAACAGAGGGCCGGCAATGTTCTTTAAATGTGTCCTGATAACACACACACACACCCCAAACCTTATCTCTAATCTTAACTATGTCCAATTCATACCGAACCCTGACCTCTACCTCACCACACTTCACGCCTGACCCTTAACCAAACCACAGAAATGACATCCTGCCTCATTAGGACGAGGTTTGGGTCCCTGTGAGGTCCACTGGTCCTGGTGAGGTCAGTGTTTATGCTTGAAAAAGCTCCTCAAGCTGCAACAAAGTGCAGCGTACACACCAGGATGGAAAATAACACGGTGCAGGTTTTGAGTCAAAGCGTCCTCAGAGCACTAATTGGCCCAGTAATCATCTTCTCTCTGTGTTTTAGAGCTGAAGCCACGCAGAGTGTCGACGCCTCGTGAGACACACCTGGATTCAGCTCATTGTCCTCCCAGCCGATAATGAAAAAACAACAATGACCACAGCGCAGTGCTTTGAACGGTCCGGACTTTGTGCAGAAGAAGAAACTGTAGATAAAATGTTCCCGCAGCTGTATCCTGTGGCTTTCAGTATCGCCTATAACTTCCTTTCCATTAGAGCTCCACATTATCCAAACGCACCATATGGTTTTTAGATTGATTTCAGTTCTTTAGGGCACAGATTTATTTTCCTTCCTTTTATGAGTTCAGCTCATTTATTTCAGGCTTTTCAGTGAGTGACTTTAAAAAGTGTTGACGCCTCTGACCTTTCAAAACTGCCCCTGCCTGCAACTTCAGAACCACAGGAGATTACTCCATTTACACCAAACTGTGGTTTTCAGAACCCTAATTGTATTTAAAGGCAGGAGCATAATCAGGGGGGAAAAATATGCAACTCACTTTAGCACTACGCAGCCAGTCCCAGTAGGTGGCGCCGTCCAGAACACCTGTATCCTTGTGCGTCTGCGAGGTGTGCTCTCCGTCACCGCGGGGGGGCAGTTGGTCATGAACTGTGTGTCGTCCTCATCGATGATCTAGAAACAAAACAAACGGAGGATTCAGATCAACAATCAACGAGGGTCCGGATCAGCGGAGGCTTCTAACCACGCGGACGCTCGGCTGCTCTCCTCAACGAAGAGACATTTTTCACAGCAGCCATGTTGGAACCCAGAGGTGTTCATCACATTAATTACAGCTCTAAATAGAACAGAACCTTCATCAGTAACATCTGTGTCTTTCTTCCATTTTTATCACGACTAATTATTTAAAAATAATTTGACAACTTGCAGTTTTTAAATTCAATTGAGCAGCGAAGTGTAAAGGTTTATGAAGAGAAGAGGCAGGATTGAGACAACGTGAAAACCTTCTTCGTAAATATGTTGCAGAGTGAACAACCTCTCAACTTTATGAGAGGGAGGCAGGAGCAGTGTTTGTAGAGAGGAGGGAGGTAATATTGAGACCAGGAACTTTTTTAAAACTGTTTATTTGACACCAGCTTGAGTCGAAAGCAAAGTCATGTGAAAGAGGTGAAGTCCCTTGAGTCCCTGAGTGAAGCTTTGGGGTAAAAACCGTCTCGTGTTTTCAGGATGTCTCTCACCCACAGTCCCCTCTGTACTTGGACCTTGACATTTTAAAGGCTAAAAACAGACATATGGACCCGCGGCCTCTGACATGGTAGCTGGTGTTCTCCAGCTGCCTCGGCTCCACAATAACAAAGACCAATAACACCTTGTCCTGAGCTCCTGATAGGACATAAAGACGAGGACTGAAGTCACAGACGGCTCTCTTTACCCTTCTGTCCTGACCTTTTCACAAGCAGCGGGAGATTCTCCGCTCAGACGTGTTCATGGCAACAAGGAAATCTCCGAATGACCCCCATTCATCCTGAGATCATTTGTAAAAAAAAACAAGTTAGTGGAGCCTCAACAAGCGGCAGGACAGTTCCCTGTGAGACCCGGCGGCAAATCATCACATCAGCATATAAAAAATAAAAATGTAAGAGCCTTCTCATCAGCACAGTCAGAGACGAGAGATTCAGGAGGTTTATCAAAGTGTTTGACCCCGAGTGCGACCTTCTTGGCTGGAAACCTTTTTCACTGACTGAGCAGCAACCCCCCCCCCCCCCAACCTAAAGTCACACATCTGAGTCTTAAATGATTCTCACTCTTCACTTCATAGACAAAGACCAGAATCTTCACAGAAAACTGCTCATTTTCCTGAAGAGCATGAAGACGCAGTTATCGCCTCGGGAGTGATTGAGGTTCTCGTCGCCTGGAGGCTGAGTGAAGAAGTCGTATCACAGCCGACAGTGGATCAAACACAGAGACGAACACTTCATGCAACAAATGGACCCGGCTTCGGAGTTTTACTACATTTATATGTTCTTCTCTTACTCCCCTTGTCGGCGTCGGTTTTCTCCGACATCCTCCCACAGTCCAAAGACCTCGTTTAGGTTAATTGCAGACTCGGAGTTGTATCATGAGTGTTTGTTTGTCTCTCTGTGTCTCAGACGTATAATATTCTGGTGACAGGGTGAACTCATCTCACCCAGTGTCAGCTGGGATGAGCTGCAGCTCCCTGAGACCCTCAAAAGATGATCAGTGTAGAGGATGAACAGATGAACTGCATCATGGGCCGCGCGGGACCCTGGAGGCCGAACGACGCAGAGTCGCGACCTCTCGTTTCCACCAAAACTTTTTTCTAGTTCTAATTTACTAATGACCAGTTATGTTTGAAGTCTGAAAACTTTCAAAAAAATCAAGAACGCTCCGATCGGAGAAGTTCTGATCTCTGCAACCAAACCAGTGAGAGACATTGAAGACTGATGGAAGGAGGACAGAGGGAGAGAGAGGGAGTGTGGGAAGACTGGCAAAGGAGCGTTTGTTTTCACTGCAGAGGATGGTATGTCTGTGTGTGTGTGTGTGTGTGTGTGTGTGTGTGTGTGTGTG